TCTGTTCTGTGCGCCAGGTAATGCTGATATGGCGCTGCCTCTGGTATACATTGCATGCTAATGTGGCGCTGCCTCTGGTCTACATTGCATGCTGATGTGGCGCTGCCTCTGGTCTACATAGCATGCTGATGTGGCGCTGCCACTGGTCTACATTACATGCTGATGTGGCGCTGCCTGTGGTCTACATTGATGATGTGGCGCATGCCACCTGTCTGGACTGCTGACGTGGCATTGTCCATGCTGTCTACATGAGGTGACTGGTTGCGAGGAGGAGGAAGATCGGGATCTGTGTATGATTGGGAACGGGTACTCACGTGAGGTTGATGTCGTCGCTATAATCTGCTGTGTCTTCATGGTCTTCACGAGTTAAGAGTGCCACGTGGCACTAGTATGTGATGAGGATTATTATACTTGTCAAGTTGTTATCATTTACTGGTTGTTGACGTGGAGAGGGAAGAAGCCCGGAGAAGGAGTGGGGTTTGATGGGATTACTCTTGTGTGATCTTTTATCATCTCTTCCACCTTCTCCTCTGTCTAATTCCCCTCCACTCTCTTCTGTCTAATTCCCCTCCACTCTCTTCATCTAATGGTAATGAGATACTGTTTGCGATATCACTTCACGATTTGGAGACTTTGTTGCAGATACTGAGACTACTGGTGTTTGACGTCTGCTGAGTATCTGCCAGACTGGGTTCATTACAGATCATTCTCCTGCAGGATTTTTTTTATTTTTTTTCTGCAAGAAATCGTGTTTCTTTTCGTGCTAATTAAGTGTTGGTGTTCTGGGGAAGATCCAGAAAGGATATAATCAAAGATTGTTTTATTTTTGATCAGTTTGTGGCGTGCGGTAAAAGGGAATCATTGTTTGATTTTGCTGTTTATCGTTGCCTGCAGCCTCCCTGAATGCCGATTGACACTAAGCACTAATCTGCCATCCGTCCTAACCCTTCTCTAATAATGAGTAAACAACCACATATTAATTCTGATTAGTTTGTTCAACTTTGTTGTTATGTGTATGAACACTAGTGACTAATCTGAATTTCTTTTCTTTTATAATCTGTGAAAAGATATTCACCGGTCAAGGTTGAGTCCGTATGCGGTTGGGTGTCAGTAACTGATTTCAGACTTTCAGTCCCTACACCTGCTGAAATTTGTCCTTCTCAGACTTGGGAACGAGTAATGAACTGACGAACGGAAATTGACAGATCAGTCAAGAGTGGCCTTGGATATGCAGTCCTGTGGGTCAGTCTTGTCGATCAATGTCAGTCCTATGAGTTAGTCAGAGAGCGGTCCGCGTGAGTCCAGTAATCTGTTTGAGTCTCAAATCAGTACTCTGTTCCATATTGGGCAGGATACTATCAGCTTTTGACCACTGCTGCGTTTATTTTATTTGATGGAAAAGAACCGTACGGAATGGGGCATGCTTCAATCGGTCAGGGGCGGGCCCCAAAGGTCTGATTGGACAGGAAGTTGAGGATGTGAGGAGTGCTGCATAGGCAGCTGGTTCAAAGATGGAGAGGTTGAAAAAGGAGGTGGCAGCCAGAAACCTGCAAGCAAACAGCAAGGGGCACACCTCTTGAGAATACAGGATGACTTCGATGGAGGGCAGACTGTCCAGCATTGAAGCCAAACTGTCCTCCCTTGTTGATTTGTTTGACATATTTTCTGCAGACATCTGTCTGTGTCTTCCTCCTCCTATTTCCCCATCTACACCTACTCCTACACCTCATGTTACACCCCATTCCCATGCAAGGTCCTCTATTGCTGGATCGTCCCAAGCCAGTAGCTCCAAGAGCAGACCAGCTACACCGTCAAAGGTGCAGCCTCTGCAGCTTGTGGCAGGGAATCCTGTTACTCCTGGTGCAAATGCGACTGCAGGCTCAAGCCAACAGAAATCGAGGCACCCCAAGACAATCCAACCTGACACATTCACCGGGGATAACCCCAATGTGGATGTAGCAGATTGGACTGCCTCGATGAGATGGTACCTTAAGGAACTCACTTGCCCAGAGGTTACCAAGGTGCAGTCCACTCTGGCCCGCTTGGGAGAGCCTGCATTTCAGTGGGCTACTTCTGAGGCCAATAAGGCTCAGAAAGAGCTGGCCGACTGGGCTGTTACGACAGGTTTGAACCATACATGCAAGCGCACGTCGTGCGGGTGGTTCCCTACGTGCGGCGCGCGCGCCCAACCGATCCCGTCCGGTGCACGACGTGTGCAGAGAACGACCCGTCACCCCCCTCAGAGAAAAAATAAAAGGCCGGGGTCGAAACGGTGCGTTTGAGGCCCCCCGCCAAAATTATAAGCGAGATGAAAAAAAAATTACAGGAGTACTGCCTCACCTTGCTCCTCCTCCCCTTCCTCATCCTCCATGTCTCCTCCTCCCTTCTCCTTTTCGTCTCCTCCTCCTCCTCCTCCTCCTCCTCCTCCTCCTCCTCCTCCTGCCCTTCCTCATCCTCCTTGTCTCCTCCTCCTCCTCGTACTTCCTCATCTTCCATGCCTCCTCGTCTCCTTCCCTTCCTCGCCGTCCTCTCCTCCTCCTCCCACTCGTCCTCCTCCTCCTGCCCTTCCTCTTTTCCCTCCGTCCATCTCTTCTCCTCCCCCATCTCGACTCCTCCTCCTCGTCGTCCTCGCTATCCTCGTCGTCCTCCTCATCCACATCCTCCTCCTCCTCTCCATATCCCCCTCTCCTTGCCATATCCCCATCTTCCTGTCATACGCCCCCCCGTTCCCCCTCCCCAAAAAAAATAAAATAATAATAATAAAATTTATAAAAATAAAAAACCTGCACGATTCCGCAGAGGCACCCCCCGCACGGAACTCCGTACAGAACTCCGCACGAATGTACGGCTCGTGCGGTTGCAAGTATGGTTTGACCAGATATTTAAGGGTCTGGAGGAGAGGTTTGCCAATCGAGAGAGAGCCAAGGAAGCTGCTGCAGAGATTGTGAGGTTAGGCCAGTCACAATGGCCGGGATCCCTCTCCAAGCTCTACGCAGTTTGGGAAAGACTAACCTCTACCCCTGGCTATGTGTGTTGTCATGTTCACTATACACAGCCCCACAAAGAAAGCATGACCGTGCCAGACTGTCTTGTCAAACTTTCACCAACTCATCAGGATGCATTTGACTGATGGACAAGGACTCACCACATTGCCCGGACTCTGCCGCTCCACTCTGCCCGGCGAATGATATGCTATCTACCCCAGCCTCACGGCTTTGCTTAGGCTGAGGTACCAGGTGACCTGGGGCTCCAGCTCGTTGGAGGGAACATCATTGCAGCCTGCAAGTCTACCTCTGGGCCTGAATCTAGCCAATTGAATGTCTAGGTTCGGGCCTGCCTACACATAAACCTTTTGTAAACTACCGGGCCTACCGGACCTTTTGTTGGGCCTGGCCGAGCAACTGGAAAATCGTACTACCAGCCAATTGAATGTCTAGGTTCTAGCCAGCGTTGCGTACTACCAGCCCTCTACTTGGTCCCTGTCACCCTGTCAATCGTAGCCTCTACTGGCAGTCCATCCAGTCCCAATTTCAGTCTTGCCCCTGTGGCTTCTTTTATTCTAACTCTAACCCTCGTGGGAAACACAGCAAACAGAACAAGCACACATATGACGGGAAACTCCGCATAGCAATTAATGCCCCAAGTGCTAACTGTGTGCCAATCATCATACGGTGACTTACACGCATACATGCACACAGCAGACACACAATTCACGGAAATATCAGCAAATCAGTCTAGCAAGCAGCAATACTCAGAAAACAGCAGAACTCTGAGACTGATTCTGTGCGGGTCATCGCATTTCTTTATTCCCTCCCCTCCTCCCCGCTCCCCCCCCCCACCCCTCATTCTACATTTCTAGACAGGGGGTTGTCCGTCTGGACATCAACTGGCTTCATCATCAATCTATAACCTGTTTTCAAATTAAGTGATTTTGAAACTTGATATTGGATTTTGTCATTTTGATTTTCGAACGTATTCATCAAATTAACTTGGAAATTTGGATTTCGATTTCACATTTCCAACTAATGCGTCAAATTAATTTGAAAATCGGAATCGAATGTTTGTTTCATATACTCTTATCAGAACGCGACTCTAGGGAGAAAAAAAAAGGACTAGAGTCTAGAAAGGATCTTGCTTCATTCTCTTGCAATCTACCTCTTTCCCCAACCCTCACTGCATGGGATATCTATAGAGAAGGGGGGAGCAGGGGGGACGAGGGACAAAAAGAATGGACAGTTCAGTAGCAACAAGAACCGCCTCATCACCGTTTAGCAGCAGCAAGAACTCCCTGCTCCCCCTCCTTCTGTGTAGAAGGGGGGGGAGCAGGGGGTTCTTGCTGCTAAATGCAACCCCCTTCTGCATCGCCCCTACTAAACAGCGATAGTGGGAATTCACTCACTCATTAACAGTGTATTATTGTTTGTCATTTACGAACAGCAAGGCATTTCCTTTTTTTTTTTTTTGAAATAACGGCAGACGCGGCATGTTTTGAAACCCTAAATGCAAAAAAAACTTGCGCCGGCAAAGAAACCACGCGCCAACTCGAAATGAGCGATTGCGGTCCAAAAGTATCCATTGGGCTTTTTTTTTTTTTTTTTTTTTTTCCCTCTCTGACACCACGGCCGACCCCTGTAAATATGACACCCGGTCTGACACCACAGCGGTTGGTACTTCCGTTGCCTTTTCAAACTCGGCTCTGTTTTCTTTGCGGACGCGTGTTTTTTTGGTCCATTAGATACTCAAAGATGACATGAGTGTACTTACCCCTTTTTTTTTTCAATCTAGCAAGCACATTTAGACTGAGGGTAAGAGCCACTTCTGTTAAGTTCGGAGCAAGATATGTTCCAATGGTACCATTTGTTTTTCTTTTGTAACAAAAGGTTGTCGCTTTTGCAATTACCGGATACAGTTTTTAAACCCTCATTGTTCACTTTTACTGTAGCGGAAATTGAAATTGAAATTGAAATTGAAATTGAAATTGAAATGGCTTTCTGTTGCAGGTGAACACAAAACTGCAGGATCTGAACCTTGGAGACACTGAAATAGGCACTCGAGTAGGTCTTCCTCTATCTTCTTCTTCCTTCTTCTTCCTTCTTCTTCCCTCTTCCTCCTCCTCTCTCCTCCTTCTGCCTTGTGCCTTCTTCTCCCTTCTTCCTCATTCTTCACTCGAATGGGAACTCGAGTATGTCTTCTCCTCCTTCCTCCTTCCTCCTTCCTCCTCCCTCCTTCCTCCTTCCTCCTTCCTCCTTCCTCCTTCGTCCTTCCTCCTGCCTTCTTCCTCCTCCTTCCTCCTTCCTCCTTCCTCCTGCCTCCTTCCTCCTCCTCCTCCTCCTCCTCCTCCTCCTCCTCCTTCCTACCTTCTTCTCCTTCTTCCTCCTCCTCCTCTTTCTCCCCCTCCTCCTCTCCTTGCTCCACTTTTTCCTCCTCTTCCCCCTCCTCTTCCTGTTCCTCTTCCTCTTCCTGTTCCTCTTCCTTGTTGTTATTGTTTTTGTTATCACAAATCCACCGGCAACTCATAATAATTACAATGAGCTATGGACTCCAATCCTTCCTTCGGTTATGACCATGATAAGGTGCTACGTTAATAACCCCTTTCGTAACTTATTCATTGTTATTTGCTGGATTGACCAGAGGCGCAACCCCAGCCTGACCGACCAGAGGCAAACTGCCAACACCAGCGGCTCGGACAAGAACAGAGGCTCGATACAAAAGGAAAGGACCTGGTTCGGGAAAAAATAGGTTTGCTAATTGGGAGTGGTGGTGGTTCAACCTTGGCATCAGATAACTTGTGAAAGGATGCCCATTGCCCAGTGGGCCAGTGGCCATCACTCCACCCCTCAGCCAACACACATGCTGTTGGAAAGATGACCTGGTGTGTCACGTCATGTCTCACCCACTTCCACCATGCTCTGTGGGTGTGCATATGACCCCTGCCATCCCCAGGGGTCATGCTACGTGGATGTGCGCATGACCCCCCTGGCTCCCCATTGGTTTGTCTTCGATGTTCAAACACAGTGCCATGAGGGTTGAGGTTGATGGTCCGATGTAGTACATATAGGTGGGGGCAACGGCCCACTACAATGATGGTGCTGTAGCACAGTGGCAATGCTATAGCAATGCTATAGCACAGTGGCAGCAATGCTATAGCAATGCTATAGCACAGTGGCAATGCTATAGCAATGCTATAGTACAGTGGCATATCCATAGCACAGAGGGATACGCAGTGCTGTAGCACAGTGGCAGTGCTATGTCACAGTGGCATATTCATAGCACAGTGGGATATCCGTAACACAGTGGCACAGCTATAGCACAATGGCAGTGAAAGAGCAAGATTCTATACCGAAAGGTGGGCCAAGCACAGTGGGAAATCTGTAACACAAGGGCAGTGCTATAGAAATGTGGCAGTGCTATAGTACACTGGCATTGCTATACCAACAATTCCCTACAGATAGGTGGCCGACCACACAGCACACCCGTCGTGCTGTAGCCCAGTGCCAGCGCCGTTGCACTGTGCTTGTGTCGCATTGGTAGTGCTATATCACACGGGGGTTGTGCTGCAATTGCACATTATGAAATTGCTATAGCGCAGCGGTGCTGGGGCAATGGCAGTGCTATGGCACACTTCTATATTCCAAAAATTGGAGACCAGTAATCCTTTTTTAGTTTGTTTTTTGAAGCACTGCGCTACAACACAGCGCTATTATAGTACAGTGGTGCTGTGCAGTGCCATAGTGCAGCACAGTGACAGTACTTCAGCATAGCTGTAGTGCTACTCTCTTCCCTGTGACACATCCTTATCACAGCTGTTGTGGCATACTGCGTAGCCACACGGGCCCTGCAGGGCCCGTCCCGCACTTTCAGCCTAAAAGCCTAGAAAATAGGGCTAACAGGCCCCGGTCGTTTCAGCCTGAAACTGAAAACGAGGGCCTGCAGGCCCTATTCCGTTTTCAGCCTATTTCTGGGCCTTTCAGGCCCAGAGGCTTTTCAGCCTGAAACGGAGGGCCATTTTCAGGCCCTCATCGTTTCGACCGACCCTAGGACTCTGGCACAAAAACAGGGTTTTCGGAACAGGCTATCTTTAGCCTGTTCCCCACGACAACTCGAGCAGGAGCTGCAGATGCAGCCCCTGCCTCCCTTCGGCATTGGCAAGAGCAGCCTCCTGGACTGCCTCGCCTGCAGTCAGGAGGCACCCGGTAGTACATAGGAAGTTCCCGTGCACTTCACGGGTAGGCAGTTGGACAGTAGGCACGAGTAGTCTTCAGGATTCAGCGCAGCACTCAGGAGGAGCGCTGCAGGGAGTAGCTTAGCGCTAGCAGTAGTCTTCAGTGCTGGGCGCTAGTAGCCATAGCAGTAGTCTTCAGCGCTGGTTGCTAGTAGGTGGTAGATAGTAGAGTTGGGAGAGATGGCTGGCGGAGGCCAGCGAGACTTACCTGTGGGGCCATAGCTCCAGCTCCACCTTCGAGGTACCTGCATCAAGGCGCCAACTTCACAGGTTAGTATTGGACTGAGAGAGAGAGAGAGAGAGAGTTTCTTCTTCCTCTTCTTCTAAGTCCACCATCTCTTCTTCCCCTCTCACCACCTGACATCTCAGTATCAGCGGACTACTACAGAGAGAGAGAGTTGTGACTCGGGACTTGACGACATTGGATCCAGACTTGACGTTTGGGATTCAGACATTTCGACGAGGGACTATTTGGGCCTGTGCCGAAGACTTGGTGTTGACGACATTCCCATCTTCCCCTCCTCTTCGTCTAAACCCCTTCTTCTTCGTCTGTGTATGATAGGGGCTGGCGCAGTCTTCCTGTGTGAAGCGCCAGACCCCATTCACACCATGTAACGATGATGATGATGTATGTTCAGGGCTGCATTGCAATATTGATTGTTCGGATCACTGGTATCTAAGTCTTCCGCTACGCCATCTTGTACTTTGTATTGAGAGGTCGGTTCTTGATCTGGTTTGCACCGTTACAGTATGCAACAGTTTGGTATCGGAGCGGACCTCTCATTCAGAGGACCCGCTCAATCAAGTAGCCAGCTTGCTTGATCTATTGATCACTCATTAGTAAATCAAGTAGGACTTCGTCAAATCTCTGAATTTTTTTTTCTTGCAACAACTATCTGAAAATTTCTGATATTCGCATTTCGTTTTACCTGAAAATTTCTGATATTGGTATTTCGTTTTTACGTAACAAATATCTGAAAATTTCTGA